GAGGTATTCACCGCCGGGGTCAAGCGACGCGCAGGGATCCTGTTGTACGGGCCACCAGGGACGGGCAAGACCCTCTTGGCGAAGGCAGTGGCCACGGAATGCGGCCTCGCCTTCCTCTCCGTGAAGGGACCGGAGCTCTTGGACATGTACGTAGGGGAGAGCGAACGGAACGTGCGTCAAGCGTTTGCCCGGGCCCGGGCGGCGGCGCCTGCCGTCTTGTTCTTCGACGAGTTGGACTCCTTGGCCCCGCAGCGGGGCCGCGGTAGCGACAGTGGAGGGGTGATGGACCGGGTGGTGGCGCAGCTGCTGGTGGAACTGGATGCGGTCTCCTCGGGGGAGGGAGGGGTGGAAGGAGGGCGGGAGGGAGAAACGGGGAGACAGGACGTCTTTGTCATCGGTGCGACGAACCGCCCGGACCTCTTGGATTCCTCCTTGCTGCGCCCCGGCCGCTTCGACCGACTCTTGTACCTGGGGAATACCACCGACGCGGGCAGCCGACGCGCCATCCTGCAGGCGGCGACCCGGAAGTTTCCCTTCGGCGAGGACGTGGATTTGTCCGACGTGGTTTCCCGACTTCCCCCGAATTTTACTGGGGCCGACTTTTCCGCCGTGGCCGCCCAGGCTTTGATGCGGGCATTGCGCCGGCGGGTGGCTGAATTGGAGGAGGAGCTGGCGGTCTTGAATGAGGGAGGGGAGGAGGGGAAGGAGGGTGGGACGGGGGGAGGGAAGTTGAGCCTGGGGACGTTTTTGTCGCATTTATCCCCCGAAGAATGCGTGGCGCGGGTCTACCAGGAAGATCTCTTGGAGGCCGCCACGAAAGTCGCCCCCTCCGTGGCCGCAGAGGAGCTGGCCCATTACGAAAGGCTTCGGCTTCAATTCAGCAGCACGCATGCCGCGGCGGGGCTCTCACAGGAAGGCAGCGCGGCGATCCGTGGAGGGGAAAAGGGGGGAGGGGTGGAGGCTCTCCCCGTGGAAGTGGGGGAAAGGACAGGATTTCTGAACGGGAAGGGGGAAAGAGGGGGAGGGAGGGAAGGGAGGAAGGGCGGGTCATCAGAATGAAGTGAGGGAAGGAACGTTTCCGATAGATAGCACGTGTACGGGGGGCGATATCGTCGGCTAGAGGAAAGTGGCGACGAGGACGCTTGTGAGGGGGTAGGGACATGGCCGCCGGAGAGACCGGGGCCCCATGCTCTCCCAATGGAGCCGATCCTGTCGGTGATTACCGTAAGGACGACAAGGACTGCGAGGGTGCTCAGGCCTGACGTCGGTGATATTCGGCCCAAAACGGTGGGGCGCTTCTCCGGATTCCTAGGATGTGCGAGGCGTTTGGGACAGAGGCAATGTCCTCGGATCCAAAGTAACGAAATGAACGTACGATATGCAGGCACGCATCCTTGGCGATGCCTCATGGACGCGTCGACGGTTGTGTTACACATTTCGGGGGACCTCGAGGCGCCCACAGGGCCTAGCACCGTCTCCCTCCCTCCTTCCTTCCCTCCTTCCCTCTTTCCCCACCACCCTACCACCTCTTACCAACCCCCTACTTCCCCGCATACACCGGCTTCCGCTTCTCCCTGAACGCCCTCAGGCCCTCCAGCCTGTCCTCGGTGGGGATGACCTTGGCGTAGCACGCCCTCTCAATCGCCAGGCCCGGGGCCAGGGGCACCTCCATCCCTTCCCGCACTGCCTGCTTCGCCGCGCGCACTGCCACCGGCCCGTTCGAGGCGATCTCCCGGCACCACCGGGCTGCCAATCCCCCCACTCCTCCCTCCTCCTCCTCCGTCGCCACCGCATTCACCAAACCCAGCCGATGCGCCTCCGACGCGCCGATACGCGTGGCCCGAAACATCATCTCCTTGGCCCTGGCCGCGCCTATCAGACGCGGCAAACGCTGCGTGCCTCCCGCCCCCGGGATGATTGCCAGGCTTGTCTCCGTCAGGCCCATTTCAGCCTTGGGTCCTGCCACCCTCATATCGCACGCTAACGCCAATTCCAGGCCGCCACCATAGGCACCGCCCTCCAGGACAGCGAGGGCAGGCATTGGTAAATTCTCCACGCCGTCCATCAGGGCCCGAAGGCTGGAGACGAAGGAGGAAACTTCCGAGGGAGACATATTAGCACGTTCTTTCAAGTCGGCGCCGGCGCAGAAGGCCTTCGTAGGCGCGGAGCTGGTGAGAAGAAGGACACGGGCAATCTGATCCTGGGCGAGGGAGGAAAGGGCATCGTTCAACGCAGTAACCAATGCTTTGTTCAAGGCGTTCCGGGCTTCAGGCCGGTTTAGGGCAAGTGTAACTATCACCCCCGTATTACTTGACTCCGCGACTAGTTTGCCTCCCAGATCATGGCGTGTTATCAGTAGTGGAGGGGGTTGGGGATGCGCGGAGGTCGAAGAGCACATGAAGCGTCGCGCAGGCAGCAGGGACGGACGTACTTGCCGCACCCGCAATGACATAGTAGTAGAGAGTTGAATGTAGATCTCTTTAAATTATACGGGAAGAGGAGAAGCGAGAATCTATTAGAACAGAGTCCCTCGCGCCGATACCTAGTTGCGGTCTGCTAGCGTAATTCTTTTCAGATGCCTGCACCAATACAAAAAAACGAATATGTCTAGCGTTGATCGCTTGAGCACAATTAATGTCAATGACTTCGCCTTTTTAGAAAAAGCAATAAAGCAGGACCGTGACCCAAAACAACAACCTGCTGCTTTTACGCAGGTAGCTTTTCCCGGCGAACTGCTCGCTGGAAGCGTTCTAGCGAGGATTGTGTAGCCGATAACAAAAACTGTGAGCAAGACGATTACCAAGCGGCACGTCCAGATCCACCAAAAGGAATAAAAATTTTTATGATTACATGCACTCAGTTTGGGCGTTCACGAATCAAGGGTGCACTCAAGCATATTTGCCTCCCGCAAACTTATCTGATGCTCGTAGCTGACTTCGTCTTTGTATTCCAATGCCTGTGCGAAGGGATACTGCCCGGGCCAGTACAGGAGCGTAAATGCGGTGACGATACAAGATAACGTGCTGTCATGAAGCCTTCGACTTTTCATTAGGGCGGTGAGGGTCGAAGACGGCTTGGACAGTGATACTGAAAGAAAAGTGCGACTCGAGCCCCAACGTCCGGGTGCATGGATCAATACGAGGTAACGAAGCTCATCTCCAAAAGCAGCTCGAGCCTTGTGTATCTTGGTCGGAAGGAATGTGACGGTACACCCGGTACGTGCATTATGGAAGGAGATGAAAGGTCGAACAAACGAGATGACGGATCTGGCTAATCAGTGCTTTCCCGCCCGCGTCAGGATTGAATCATACCTTACATGTGCATGTGTCCTTGAACAAAGTTTCATCTCATTTCTACATTATTCAAAACGCGACAGTGGCGATTAAAAAAACAAGTCTTGCCGGTCGCGACGCCAGAGCTCAGGAGAAATGCTTGCGGGAGGCTCGCCTCATCACGTCCCTCTCCTCCACCCACCCCAACCTTCTCTCTTGCCTGGACGCCTTCCTGGTCGTCGAAAAGGGAGCACAGTCCTATTTGATCGTAGTGACGGAATGGGCCGAGGCGGGGGACCTCGCCCGCGTGATCCGCAAGGCGCGAAAGGAGGAGAGGAGGATACATGGAGGGTTATGTGAGGTGCGGCTCTGGGGATGCCTGGAGCAACTTTGTGCAGGGATCGAGCATTTGCACAAAGCCAGGATCGTTCACGGGGACTTGACACCCTCACACGTGCTTTTTGATGGGCAAGGGACGTTAAAGGTAGGCGGAGTCAGCATCTCGCAGTCGCGGGTCAGACCACCCACCCTCCGCGGCCCTCCCCCTGAATCTGCCCCCGCCTCCCAGGCAATGGGGGCGGGGGGAAAGAAGCGAAGGAAGCCAGTGCCGGTATACGCGCCCCCAGAGATCCTCCGGGGGGACGGGCCCGGGTGGAAGAGCGATACGTGGAGCCTGGGTTGCCTGGCGTTTGAGATGGGCGCGGGGCGGCCCCCCTACCAGCTCGGCGAGGGCGGGGTGGAGGGCCTTCTGGCAGCGATGGGTTCCGGAGGAGAGGAACTGGCGTGGCCTGAAGGGTTCTCGAAGGAGCTTCGAGATTTGGTAAAATCCATGCTGTCGGTGGACCCGGCTAAACGCCCGGACGTGGAGCGCGTCCGAGAAACGGCTCGGAGAATCGGAATTACGCGGGGGGGAGGTCCCCGGTGGGAACAAAGGAGAGGAAACGGCGGGGGCGAAGGCCTTAGATGGGTGGGAGCTATGGAAACGGGCGAGAATGTGGAGGCAGGGTCGGAGAAGGGATGGAGCGCATGGCCGACCCCCTCGCCCGCCCGAGGGGGGAGGGGAAAGCTATTGGAAGGGCGGTGGACGAAGCAGGCAGAAAAAAAGAAGGGCGGGAAGAGGGAACAGGCAAATACTGACCAAGGACCAGAGACGGCCCTCCCTGCGAGCGAGTCGCGAGCCACTGGGGGATCGCTTCCGGGACAGGGGCCCTTGACTAGCGCCCTGGATGGAGCAGGCTCGGGGGGTCAAGGAGAGGGCAGCATGGCGGCTTGGTCGAGCGAGGACGATACAGGGCCGCAGGGCCGTCGGCAGGAGGACCCTCTGGAGGCAGTCGTGGCCAGATTGTCCCTCCAGCCCCCTTCGAGAGCAGTGGGCACCGAAATGGGCTGGCAGGGCCCCGGAAACATCCGACAGTCTCCATCGAGGGGCTTGGGGCCCACAGGGCTGGAGGCCAGGGGGGGGAGTCCGGAGCCTTTGGGTCGACCTATAGGAGCAACAGGTCGTGAGGAGCGGCCGTGCACGGTCGAAAGCATGCAGGCGGGCATTCGCTGCCTCCAGGGTCAGCTTCAGTCGCTCCAGTCCAAGGTGGCGGAGAAACATCGTCGGATCCGCGATATTGACGCGGCCCTTCTCCGAGTGGAGTGGGCACTTGCTGACAGGAGGGAGGGAAAGGGATTGGGACGCTCCGAGGTTAGTGAAAAGAAAGGGATTGTGTATGGAAAGAGCGGCCTGGGGTTGATGGAGGTGCGAGAGACTGTGAAGCAGTTGCAGGAGGAAAATCGGGAGATGCGCTTGAGGAAAGGGTTTCTTTTGCAAATGCTTGGAGAGCTACGGGCAAGAAAGGCGGAAGATGCCCGGAGGAAGCGCCAGAGGCTGAGACGGGGGCAGCAGTTCCAACGAAGGAGGGTGTGGGGAGATGGAAAGAGCGCGGAGAAGTCAGGGTGGGAGGCTGACGGGCTGTGAGGGGATGGGGGTCCCCAGGGCGTCTGGATGATCCTTCGCTTCCCTTGCAAGCATACGCGTGGCGTGTTGTCGCTAGCACCTGAGGGGATGAAAATGAAGGCGGGGAATGACACGGGCAGCTTCAGGTGCACAGGGGCGGTAAAGGATACATATGACAGACACTTGTTTGGAACCTGCCTGATCGTGTCTGCGCAAATTACTACCGGGTCAGCCGAATAAATATGCTTTATGGGGGGATTCGTACCATCCATCCGGAACACTAAAGTACATTACTCAGATTTAAAACCCAGAGCGAACCCTGTGTAAGATATTTGTTTCTTTGTCTACAACGCCTCAGCTC